GAGCATAACTTTGCGATGATTTTTCACGGAGTTATCATCAGTCAAATTTGGCCAATTTTTGCCTAAAATTTTTCTATGCCATATTTTTTTTGAGCAGTGTATTATTACACAATATTTCATTATATCATCAATACATAATTAGTTCTCTTGTTTAGAGCAGTTATCACATCGTGTACCACCGGTAGTACACGTGGCGCTGAGATCAGTTCGAGTGCAAAAGTCAGTCAGTTCGAAACTTTTCGGTTAGTAAAAAAACCTGCTGCACTCGAATTTGTTAAATAAAAGACGAGAGAAAGAAAATAAATTATTTAACAGAAGAAGGAGTAGGTAAATATACGGAGATAACATTTTTTGTTTTTCATTTGTTTCTGTTGGAAAACAAGTTTCTATTATTTACTTCATTATTATTATTATTTTTCTTTGATTATTTTATTTTCACTTCTTGCTATAAAAAAAAAGTAAAAAAATTCGGAACTGAAGTAGCAAGACAAAAAACTATAAGAGTAATAACGTTTTGCAGCGATTGCCCGAAAAAGCCGTCTTTATGCCTCCCTTGCTTCAACGAAATGCACCATTAAATGCGATTATTAATTATTGTATATATAACAATTAAATAAACTTATGTGTTTTGTTCTATACTGTATCTTGTATAATGCTTCATTTTTTAGGTAGAAATATAGTTTACAGAATTATATTTGTAATAAAATATATGTTTTCAGCGCATTGAATAAATATGACTGCGTGTACCACCGGTGGTACACGTGGCCTGACGATCAAGTTTACCGTGGAACGTGTTAAATGGAACATTCTTCTTCCGTTTTCGGCTAGGCTTAGACAAAGCATGTCGTTTTATTGCTTATTTTGTGTCCAATCCTTACGTGTCCAATCGGGATACGCCCAAAATAACTGCTATATTTGTCAAACTTCTTTTGTTAATAACTTTTTAATAAAAAACGAGCGACGACTAAAACCTTCTGAAGGTCACTCAGGAGGGTGACCTAGACAACATATGTCAAGGTCAAGGTCATCGGAGCTGGCTCCCTCCATCGGCATATTTACCAAAGAATTTATCTCAGAATCGAAGATATTAGTTTTGTCCACGTTTTCGCCGTTTTTCGCCACTGTACGGCGTCGAAAGCAGGGAGTCTTGATCGAATCGTAGAAACATGTATCTGAATCGGTTACTTTATTTTTTTTGTATTCATTCTTCCTTTTAATTTATTAAATTTATATTATTACTACAATCCGTTTTCTAATCTTCTTGCTCCCATCCTACATGTACAGTGTGTCCCAAAACTATTCGTACCCTCACAACTTCCAACTATAAATGATTATTTGTATGTTTAACAAATCGTAACAAATATTTTATTGATTGGGTAAGATAATACATTTAATGAGCTTTCAATAAATATAAATTTTATTTCAAAACTAACCGTGCGGAATAATATAAATATCATACTGAGTAAATATGCTCGGAAACAGCAACATAAAAGTATTCGTACTCTTCAATTCTATGCATATAAGAACCAAAATATTTGCCAATACAGCTTTGTATTGATACCTATAATAAGGGAAATGATAGATTGGCCATCAGTAGACAACATTACGTTGACGGTACAATATTCTCTCGATAATTACCAAAATGAATCGAAAAGGTAGTGAAATTTCAATAGCAGTAAGAAAATCAATTTGGAAATTGCATAAGGAAGGAAAATCGTACAGTCACATAGCAAACACTATTGATAGAAGTAAATCTACTATTCAGTATGTTATTAAAAATATAAAACAGAATGGTACAGTATTAAATAAACCACGTACAGGGCGGCCTCGAAAATTGTGCGAACGAGAAGAAAGAATGTTAGTGCGAGAAATTAAAAAAAATCCTAAAATTAGTGGTCCAAAATTAGCTACTATTGATAATATAGCTTTCAAAAAGGATATTAGTGCCGAAACATGTCGAAGAATTTTAAGGAGACAAGGTTTTAATGGACGAGTAGCTCGGAAGAAGCCTTTTATCAGCAACACCAATAAACGCAAACGCTTTCAATTTGCAAAAGAACACGTGGATAAAGAGTGTACGTTCTGGGACCGTGTAATATTCTCAGATGAATCAAAATTTAATATATTCGGATCAGATGGACGTTCCATGGTATGGAGAAGAGCGAATACCGAACTACAATTAAGAAATGTAAAGCCTACCATAAGGCATGGAGGAGGCTCTGCACTCGTTTGGGGGTGTATAGCAGCACGTGTTGTTAGAAATTTAGTTTTTATTGATAGGATAATGGACAAGAATAAATATTTAAACATTTTGAAAGAAAATTTACCACCTAGTGCTCAAAAATTACAGTTACAAAATAATTTTTATTTCCAACAAGACAACGACCCCAAACATACGGCCCACATTGTTAAAGAATGGATATTATACAATACGCCACACATGCTGATTACTCCTCCTCAAAGTCCCGACGTTAATCCTATAGAACATTTATGGGCCGAAATTGAAAAAAGATTAAGAGAAAATATTATAACAAGTAAAGAAATGTTAAAAGAAAAAATAATAGAAATTTGGAATAATATTCAACCTAATTACACCTCAAATCTCGTTCGCAGCATGCCAGATCGTCTCCGCAGTATTATCCAAGCTAAGGGAGGTCCAACTAAATATTGATTAAACAATTAGGTTTAGAAATCATGTTACTTTTGAAAAGTACGAATACTTTTGTTTCATTGATTTTCCACCTATTTGTAAGAAGGCACGTTTGTATAATACTAATTTGTTAATTCTCTAATAAAATTCGTATGAAATAAAAGCTTATTAAATATATTATCCTACCCCATAAGTAACATTTTTGTTTCGATTTGTTAAACATAGAAATAATCATTTATAGTTGGAAGTTGTGAGGTTACGAATAGTTTTGGGACTCACTGTATATGTTTGTATAATATTACGTCATGTGCCTCTCTAAATTATGAAACTTTTATATGAAAACCATTTTCTTATAACGTGTGCTTTACAAATTATTTATAATGTACAGTTAAGTAAATCACTATGTATACACGTGAGCACATGTAACAAAAAATTATATTTACAGCTACATATAATTAATAACATATTATCGAACAATATTTGGAACCATAGATATAAGACTAAACTATATTTACAACTTTTGTTAATATCTTATAGTTCACTTACAAAAATTAGAAAAGTTTATGAAATTTATGTGGGAATGAGAGAATGACAGTGTGAGAATGAGAGAATGACGCTGTGCGGGAATGAGAGAATGACGCTGTGCGGGAATGAGAGAATGATGCTGTCAGTAACCAACTGACGGAATGTCGATAATTAATCGTGGGTAATGAATGTTGTTAGAATATGTGTTTTGTCATTTTGTATAAGAGTTACCGACGTTTACCGACGTTTCAAGGCGTTTCAGAGCGAGCGGGATTGATGAGTTTTTTTTGAAAAGCCAATCGGGAAAAAAGAGCATTGTTTATTAGAAACCTGGTCGTAAAAGGAGACGCATTAGAAAAATAGGCGTAAAAGTCGAAAAAAGTCGTGAAAGTTCGGTGTTTATTAAAAGATTGTAAAAGCCGTTTTATTTTCAAAGTTCTGTGTTTTGCTAAATAGTGTTAGAGTTAAGTTTTGTTTGTTAATGTTTGTGTTAAAGTTTTTTCCTTATTAAATAATAAAAAGAGTTTTCTTTTGCACAAAACCATATCAAAACGGTGCAAAACCATTCTTATCATTTTAATTCCTACATTTATATTCTATATTTAAAGTACTATTTTCAAATTCGAATGTAAATTTTTCAAAAAGGTGGAATTTTAAGAAGTAATTTTTTTATATATTTACAGTATTTTTTCTATAATAACCAATTAAATTAAGTGTTATTAATAATATATGTATTAAATCGGCAGTATTCTCTTGACTAAACTTTTCCATATGACTTTTCCGAAATGTTCTACATTCTTTTTCTTTGTTTGTGGAATCTCTTCAGATTGCACAATTAACAAAAGTGCATAATTAATTGTACCGTTTATTTTGAAAGTGGTGTAACTTTATTTTATTTTGTTTCGAGAAAATTAAGGGTTAGTATTTTAGTCAATTAAAAATTATCGGTTAATTATGTTTGGAAATATTTCTACTAATTTATCAATATGTAATTTCTTCATATAATTCCTTTCAAGCGAAGTTAATTAAAATAATATATACTTACGGGCAGTAAATGGACTTACATCACTTTCATAATCAGTGCTTACGCAGTTTCTTCTATCAAATAATTTTAAATTGAACAAAGCATTGGCCTTTTTAAAGATATTAAATATTAACTAGTTACAAATAAAAAGTTCATACTGAATTAAGCAGAAATTGCGTAATATCTCATTCTTTTTAAATAGGCTTGCACCGCTTTTAAAATAAAGGATTCAATTATTTCTGAATTTTGAAATGACTATTTATGAAAGAAATAGGCATATATTGTCAACAGTAGAATTATAAATTATTGAAATATAAATGCAGTAAATTATACATAAATTATCGGAATTCTTTATATACAATATTACAGCTTTGAAAATCATACTTTTTGATTTAAAAACAAGGAAAGAATAAGAAACTAGTTATTACAAAATATAAAATACAATTTTTATTTTTATAAAACATACAATGTGGCTGAAAATTGAATAATTATTATTATGAGGTTATTTAGATTTTAACATTATGCTCGAGATGGTTGCACACTGCTTAACAAAAAGAAAGATATTATAACATGCAATAAACCTTATAGCTAACATTTAGCAGATCTTGTAATGAGTAAGTCACTAAATGCATTACTATAAGATGAAAGACCAACGAATATTAAACGCATTTCGTAGATGTACGTAAAATGGAACAACTATGACGCTATTCGAAAATTTTAACTGTAAGAATAAGGTTTTACACTGTAAGTTTATTACATCATAACAAAATATTTTTATACTTTTATATTTTTATATTTTTTAATTCCTTTTTTATAAGTATAGTCAATCTCTCGAACAGGTCCGACGATGATGACATTCTTTAAGCGATTCCATGCCCATGCCCAATTTAGCCAATATTTTTTACAGCATATATTAAAAGCATTGCAAAACAATAATTTATTCAGTATTACAACTAGTTTTCCTACTGGGAATCGTTCAAATGATCTTAAGCGACGTATTTTCAAAAGAACGAGAAAATTTATATGATGTATGCATTGCAAAAAGTATCCTAGAAGAAATGCAAGAATAATTCTTTCGAGTTGAAAAGATACATTCATTGCAAGCCTCAATGAATAGCTAATTTTAAAGCAATAAAAAGTATCAATTACATATTGAATAACGAAGGAAGTGGAAAAGTTTATTAAGATCGAAGAAGTGCAACACGTGTTATGTAACTAACCTTAACTTTCTGACTGCGAAAGGTGTATACATACATGTTATGGACAAAGGTATTATCATTAACGAATAATGATCGGTTAATGCGAACAATGTAATAAATTTCATGCTGTTCATCATACTTAATCACATTGGACAGTATGAAAACTGTTGTAATACTACAGTATTCTCTCCGTAAATGTTAAAATTTTATCCCCACTACTGGGGGATCCCCCTTGAAATCAGTCAAGAATGAAACACGATCAGTCGCCGAAATGACGAGAATCAAATATCGGTGAGACACATACTAATGCAAGAAAAGGAAAAGATTGCAGCTTTTTTATTTCGTACTATTTTTCCATGAAACTTTTACTGTCGTATTCGTCTACTTTTCCTGATTTAAATAACACCAAACACGATATGATTACGATCGTTATTACTTATGTAATAAGCCATAAAAGTTTCGGACTTTCACACTTACGGCAAACTTTACATTTACGGCAGAGATACGAATTCCTCCTAATGGCTTGCTATACAAGTAATTATGATTTTAATTATACCGTATTTGGTACAATTTTAATCAGAAAAACGAGACAAATACGATAATCAAAGTTTCATTCATGAAAAACCAAAAATAAAGAATTTTGATTTTTGAATTTAAACTTGGAAACTTTAACACGTTGAGCCCGGCGCCGAATTTGCTGTCCTTTCCGTTCAGCCGGCAGCGAGCGATCAAGCGGTACAATGTTGCAGGGTACCGCGACTTTAAACAGTGAGTAGAGCTTATCTGTTGGTGAGCTTTGTCGGCTACCGACATACAAGCCCTGCCTGTGCGTGACAAAGCTCGTGGTCCCGAATGTTAGCGGCGGCCCGCCTTTGAGCTCGCGTTCGAAATAAGGAGAAGTTTTAATTTCTTTTTCTAAGTAAAACAATGGAACAGTCAATACGTACGTACCTCCAAGAGGCGATCAGTTGGGAGAGATTTACCGAAGTGTACGGATTGTTTGTAAAAAGTAAGTTGAAGGACGAAGAAATTATCGCGAAAGAAAATAATCAGGGTATTACTGTCTTGAAGTGGAAAGACAAGAGAGATATTTTGGTTCTGTCCACAAAACATTCAAGCGAAATAATAACCGTAAAAACAAAAAGAGGATTTTGCCCAAAACCAAAAATTATGACTGAATATAATAAATCAAAGACTAGTATGGATTTGTCAGATCAAGTGAGCGCGTATAGCAGTCCCTTGAGAAAAACTCTCAAGTGGTATAAAAGTCGCCGAGTAGTACGGTTGTCATCATCAGAAGATGATAATTCATTCGGCGAGGAAGGGCAAATTGAGAATGACGGTAGTGACACAGATGCTACTGAAACCTGTGATCGAAATGAATGGTTTGATCTACAAGGTAATCAGCCAAATATTACGTCCTTTACGAGTGCTGCCGGCGTGAAAAAAACTAATGAGAAAGTGCGGAATTGTAAGACAGTAGAAGATTTTTATACACTCTTTGTCACTGACGAAATGTTCGAACACATCAGTGAGCAAACAAATCTTTATGCTGCTCAATCAAGAATTGTTTGTAAACGTAAAAATAAATGGACGCCAACTAATAAAAATGAAATAAAACGTTTGTTTGGGCTAATAGTATGGATGAGAATGGTGAAGCTTCCATCCTTACGTTTGTACTGGTCTCAGGATCCATTGTTTTCTCAAACATTCCCGCGGACAATAATGAGCAGAGACAGATTTGAAATCCTCATGACGATGTTACATTTCGCAGATAATGAAGCAGTTGACGCATCTAATCGTCTATCAAAAATTCAATTTATGATAGACGAACTAAATAAAAATTTTCAAAAATTTTATGATCCACCTGAGGTATTATGCATTGATGAATCACTAATCCCATTCCGCGGGCGAATCATATTCAGGCAATATTTAAAACAAAAAAAACATAAATACGGCATTAAAATATTTAAATTATGCTGTAATCGCGGATATACCTACATACAATTTTCATGTGTACAGTGGAAAAGCTCTTGACAAGCAGAATACAACCCCATCAAATATCGTAATGTCCTTATTCAAAAATTTATTTCATAAAGGCCACACGTTGTGTACTGATAACTGGTACTCCAGTGTCGATTTGGCAAAGAACCTAATACGCAAAAACACCCATCTAATTGGTACACTTCGAACAAATCGTAAAGGAAATCCATCTGAAGTAATAAATACTAAATTAAAACGCGGAGAAATTATCGCGAAAGAAAATAATCAGGGTATTACTGTCTTGAAGTGGAAAGACAAGAGAGATATTTTGGTTCTGTCCACAAAACATTCAAGCGAAATAATAACCGTAAAAACAAAAAGAGAATTTTGCCCAAAACCAAAAATTGTGACTGAATATAATAAAGCAAAGACTAGTACTGATTTGTCAGATCAAATGAGCGCGTATAGCAGTCCCTTGAGAAAAACTCTCAAGTGGTATAAAAAGTTAGCATTTGAGCTATTTCTAAATACCGCTGTTATAAATGCATTGTTCACGTATCAAGAAATGACAGGAAAAAAAATATCAGTCACGGCATTTCGCAGGCAATTGACGGATGAACTCACACGGCGGCTAGATGAGGAACTCCAATCCAACGTGAAAGAATTATTCACAAATTATACAAAAAGGAAGGAGACGTACATAAAGTCCGAGGTTATTGTACAAAATGTTACGCTGACAATTCAAAACTATTTGGACGCAAGAAAACCAAAAATGTTACTAAAAAAGTTATTACGTACTGTAGTATGTGTAAAGCTAAGCCGTATTTTTGTTTAGAATGTTTCAATAAATTTCATTAAAACTAATCACATTTCATTGAGACTATATTTATTTTTTCACTTTAATACTGTCGGTCCCACGGACCGACGCCAGCCAAACGAAAATTCTAGTGCCGGTCCCCAGGGACCGATACCGGCCAAACGAAAATTCCAGTGCCGGTCCCCAGGGATCAACGTGTTAAGCTTGGATATCGCGCTGCTTGGTGCTGACTGGGTTCAGACCTGGCTATATGTACTGTTAAAATATAGCAATACATGCTAATAGCATTCCCGTCGCAGCCCAGTCTAGCACCGCCTCGCCCCTCGCGTCTGTGTTGGGGGACCCCCAGGCATGGGCCTTGGAGTTAAAATCCCCCAGCACGAGCACCGGACGGGGCAGGAGACTCGAGACACATCTCCCTACCCCACCCAGTAGGTCCTCAAATAACGCAAGGGTAAGTCGAGGCGGGGCATGCACGCCCACCACCGCAGTTCCGTCCCAGTGGACAGCCACGAATCCCCGACCACCCACGAATCCCTGACCACGAGCTTCCAGCTCGCAGTATGAGGATCCGGGCTGCATATTCCACACGATCGCTACGGAGCTCTCATCGTCCCCGAACCAGTTAAGACGATCGAGGACTCTGTAGGGCTCCGAGGCGACAACCTAACCTAACCTAACCGTGACTGCGTTACGCGTGACACCGTTACGTTATGATTGTATATTATAGAGTATGAAGAGTATGATAACCACAGATAAAGAACACGAATGAAAACGTTAGAAAGATTATTTACAAATAATTTAAGCGTTACGTCTAATTGTAAGAAACCATGATCGAGAATGGGGGCCTCTGGTGGCGAACTGGGAAGCTCTAGACAAAGATAGATAGATCCTTGTCTCTCCAACGTATCTTTCTTTTCACGAAACGAAGCAAAATTCGTTTTCTGGCATGCTACGGCGAAACAATGGTGCCGTAGCAAGGTTGGCGGGCTCCCGAGGCATCGATTTTTAACAATTTTTTATATGCGGATGTATGCACATGTAATTTTTTGTTGTAATTTTAGTAAAGGAATATATTGTTAATAACCGTTAATAGTTGTTAGTTTGTTTTATTAGAAAATTAGTCATTCTTTCACGTACAACTGATTATAAATTTGACTGCGATTGACGTTTGGCGCAGTATTTATAAATAATTTGTTTGTTATTTAGTCTGAAATCATATATACTAAACTGGTTCGAAGAAGATACCGTATCGCATGAAATATAAGATGTTTATAATACATTTGGCGCGTTACTGCCGCGCGTTCCTCGGGAGAAATAACGCAGATATAAGAGAAGAATCGATTGCTACTACGAGACGAAATAGTTAGTATTATGAAAAATAGATAGAACTTTAAATTATATGAAAAATAGATAGAAGAGAAAAAAATTTATAAATAAAGCATATGCGTAATACAAAGACTTTTTAAATAAAATGTACTGTTTGTAATAATTGCAATAACTCTAAATATTTTTTAACGTAGATATAGATTTAATGATAAAAAAATGTTACATACTTTAAAAAATAATTTATATGATTACTTTAATGCTATTCCTGCAAGAGAAAAATATTCAAAGATCAGGTATAAGAAATAATGTGTTTCGGGTGATTAAAATTTTTAACGTGAAAGAGATTGGCAAATGGAAAAAAAAGAGATAGAATGTTGAATCGGTCGGCAAACAAGAAAGACTCGTTTTGTCTTTTCCATTCGAAAATCAAAATTCTTTATTTTTGGTTTTTCGTGAATGAAACTTTGATCATCGTATTCGTCTTGTTGTTCTAATTAAAATGAGACCAAACACGATATAATTTGAAGCATATTTACTGGTTTAGATTTGACGATAAAAGTTTCTGACGCAGAGGAGGATAACGAGTGAAGAAGAAAGAGACACTGTGGTCGTGGCAGTCGGCAAAGATCAAAAGTCCGATCAATTGTTTGCAATGCTTATGCATTGCTAACTTTTTTATTTTTAATCTATTTTTTATACAACTTGTTTCATATTCGTGACATTTTCCTGATTAAAATGAGACCAAACACGACGTAATTTGAGTTATATGTACTTGCAATATCTTATTGGAGTAAAGTCATCGATGTACGCGTAACATTTTACGTCGTAGTCGGTTATGTGTCGGAATGTAAGACACTCCTCCAAGTAAAGAATTGGCTGACAGGTTAGGAGTCCTGCATCGTCATTCGTCACTGACCCTCGCACGGGTAGGACCTACCTCCGAGCCCCCCGCGAAGTGACCGTACCGTTTTCGTACATACTGTGACACAGTGTGAATGCAGTGCGCTCAGTGAAAGTTTTCTCGTGACAAGTACCACAAACGAAGCATACAAGAACAGAGGACACACAACGCCACCAAAATCACACACACAAACCTGCCAGGGG